AAGAATTTACCAACACCAGACCAGATCTCCAAGAAGTTCTCAAGGGAGTGCTATCCCAGGAAAATTAAATACATACACACAGAAATAAGAGTTCAAAAACTAAGAAAATGGCCAACTTAATCATAGGGACACGTCTGAAGTTGAATATTATATCCCAGAATTTAATCGGGAAGATCAAACCACAACAGAAGATAGATTAAGTATGTGAGGATGAACTGGTAAAATAGCATTTTATGACTTTTGACTAAAACATTGATTTTCTTCTAGGCTTTTTTTTTTCCAATTTTAAGGATTTTTGCCCTGTCTTGAGCTGTTGATAGGTTCACGTACCTACTATTTTTAACAGAATCCTAACCTGTTTCCTGGCTTTAAGTTTTAAGCAAAGTCCCTTAGCATTTCTTTGATTTATTAAAGTTAAAACTGCTTTTCTTGAAATTAAAAAAAAAAAATTACCCACTCAGATGAATAAGACCATAGACCTAGCACTGTGAAGAAGTGCTGAGTTGGGTTAGACACCAGTGAATTCACGTTCTAATAAGAGTAAATCATGGCGAGGTAAGTAACAAAGCACAGATATGTGAGGGAAAGTAGTATGCATAAGGAACAAGAAGGATTTATTTTTCTTTTTCTATGCGAAAATGTGTCATGACTTTCCCAAGAACTGAATAGAAAGTGGAAATATTAATCCTAGATGGGAAATTAAAGTAGTCACCACACTAAAAGTGGTGACTGGGCAAAGGCTTGATGGAAAGGTAGAGATTATGCATGTTGGGATGGGGAAATGGGCAGACATAACTGTACAAGATAATCCAGTTTAACAATTGCCCTTGTTGACAACGTGGTCCATACTCTACCAGAAATGGGTCTAAGATATTTTCAGAGCCACGGACAGCTCTACTCTTACCAAACCAAGATAAGGTGGCATCCCAGTAAGATATGAAAGGAAATTATTGCATGTCCCTAGTCTGCAGTACCCAAAGAACTGAAGTCACACTGAGGCATTGCATGCTGGACCGCCAACAAGAAGAGTCCGATGGCTGTTCCTTCTCTGACCTCCTGTCAGACACCGCAGATGGCAACACGGAGAGGATGGCCACTCTGAGCCTTAATGTTTTTCAAAATGTCTGGGTTTTAACTTTCTTTATTATAAATAATTATTATAAATCATTTGCTTCCTTCTCTTAGGCTAATAATGTGTTGTTTCCCTTACCTCTTCCATTAGCAACTCTTTTTTATTCTCTGAAACCTACTCTTCCTCTTTCTTTTAAAATCTAAAAGTTTGTTTCCTCTCTCCTCACCTCAGTCCTTTCCACCTCCATCCCTTCCTGCCTTTGAGATTTGGGGCATGCATACACACATGTGTCTAGCGTGTTTATTAAGCTGCCTGGTCCAGGACTCAAACCACTTGGTCAGTGACGTGGGATCCAGTGCCTTAACTACCTTGCCACAGACTCAGGATGAGTCTGGCTGAGGTCTTCTGCATGCAGGGCCTTGTGGTTTTGATAGCTGTCTTCTGTTAAATAACCTGGGAGGTCCCGCTGCTTTCCATGACACCTCCCTCTCTTGTAACCTTGTCTTGGTCTTTGCCTTTCCACTTCCCCAGTCACTGGCATCTAAGAGTTGCCCTCCCCTCACTTCAGCTTTCACTCACTTCTTTGGCCATACGAGGAAAATACGAAGTCAAGAAACCGACTCTTCAATTCATTGAGAGACGCTTCAAAGTTCAGTTTTAGCCATTCATACTAACGAGGTTTTATTCTTCTTATTATTATTATTACTTTCTACTAACATGTGAAGGGGAGACATAGACTGGAAACACCACAGGGACCCCGCTGCTGTGCTGTGCACTGCTAAGACATTGTGCCCTGCAGGCTAGGATCACTTGGAAGGCCAAGTTCAATTCCTGGTCCAACCTGCAGGCGGGACATGGTAACATGCATCTATAATCCCAGCAACTCAGGAGACACAGAAATCACAAACTCAAGGTTGGCCTGGGCAACCTGACCATTAATTAATAACATAGGAGCAGGAGACCTGGCAGTGACACAACGGTAACATTCCCAGCTCTGTGAGGGAGAGCCCAGGTAGAGCGGGGGTGTTCAGGCTCAGGTCTGGAGAACTCCCGGAGTACGCCGGGCCCACACGTCCATGGTTCAAAGTTGGTTAGCAGTGGGTCTGGACATTAGGACCCGACTGTGGGTACTACCCTCTATTTCCCAGAGGAGAGAGCTCGGTTAACTTTAGTGAGAGGAGAGAGAGGAGAGAGAGAGAGAGAGTGGTTGCCATACACCTGTAGTCCCAGTCGGGAGGCAGAAGTGGGAGGACCGCATCAGAGCAAGCATCTGTCTTAAAAAGCAAACAAATGAGCAAGAAGAAATGACTTACTTTTTAGGTCTTGATACCTGGAAATCCGAAATCTCAGGTCTGCTGGTGAGACATTATAGTTGTGTTTGCAGAAGGAACATAGGAACTAATGTGAAGACAGATGTTACTTCAGCCCTTTAAAAATAAGAGATTTAGTAAGAAAAACACTACAAGCCTACCTGGTTTCTTTGTCTCTTAACTCATTTGCACCCACCCTCTCTTTTCCAGAAATACGTTCTAATCTCCAAATCCTGAATCCTTAGCAAGGCAGTCGTCTACATAGTCAGTCTCCGCTTCCGCCATTGTCCCACCGTGATCTGATCCCATAACTGAGTGACATCTCAGTATTCCTCAAGAAGGGAATGCCAGCCCTTGCTACCTGCTCTGTTTAGAACATTCAAACCCCCCCCCCGCCAGCCATCTCCCCTCACCACCCTGAGAAGAGCACCTGCCTCCCCAGGCACATATCAGCACTCCTTCCTCCACCCCAGGGCCTGCGGACCCCAGCCTCCTCCTCCCCGTCATGTCACATAGACATGTGATTGTACCCGCTGCTGTAACCGTCAGCTTAACACAGCTCCGCTGCCCGGTGCTTTCCTGTAGCCAGAAACCACAGCCTTTCTTTTCTTTCTGAGAGACATTTTTGCTATAGGGCACATGTGCTCACCTGAGAGACAGAGACAGAAAGCGAGAAATCACCCTCCAGGGGGAACGGCCATGCCACAATCCCTTCTCCTCTCAGGATCTTGGGAACAGATGCACACACATCCGGTATGAGTTTTAAGCCACCGGGTCCAGGACTTGAACTGCAGTCGTGGGAGTCCAGCAACATAACCATTACACCATGTGCTGGTCCCTGTCAGGAACCATATCTTTATCTCTGTGCCCTCATCACCCAGAATGGCACCCAGCACTTAGAAGGCGCTCACATCTGAGAGGTCGCTGAAGCTGTAGCAAGGGCCCTGGATACAACCATTGTCACCACCCTCCCAGCCGCAGACAGCCTGGCCCAGCACAGGACAGGCACACGTTACTAGGAGGGCAGGAAAACTTGTCACTTGCCATGCCGAGGCCTGTGCTCGTTGGAAGTGATGGGGCAGCTGAGCCATCAGAAACGTATTACTGAAGACGTCGGACAGATTGCAGAATCGTGGAGAAGGCCGGATGGAGAAAGGCCTGGGGAATGAGCAGGAACAGCAGAACCAAGATGGGGCCATGGTGTAGGAGTGGTCAAGTTCCCTGGCCCCACTGGTGGTCCTCTCCTGGGCTTCCCCATTGCGGGTCAGGGTGCTTCCACCACTGGCTTCCCAGCTCTGTCCGGTTCCACCACCTCAACATGCAGCAATCTGGGCTAAGGAACAGCCACGTAGCTGCCCCTGCTAGAAGCCTTGGCACACAGGGAGAGTGATAGGGAGCATGACGAGGAGCAGTCACAGCCCACCCACCTAAACATTGATGACCCCTACAAATGGACGGCAGCCATTCACTAAGCATCAGTAAACTTGCAGATGTCTATGAGAGGCACATGATGGCACGTTGTCACCGTGAAGTACAGTGAGGTACAAAGTACATGTATGGCACATGCAATGATTTGGAGTCTAGCTTTAAGGACAATGGAATGACTCTTAATCCTTTTCTCTAATACAGAACCATGTAAGAGAGAAGTGAGGGACCAGCCAATGGCATAGCAGTTACATTACTGGACTTCCACACAGTCGATCATGGTGCAATGTGCGTGCTTGCTCAAGATCCCAAGAGGAGAATGGAGGAGGGATTGCGGCGTGGTGATCCCCCCCTGGGGGGTGATTTCTTGCTTTCTGTCTCTCTCTGTCCCTCTAGCGAGTGCATGCAACCTATAGCAAACATCTCTATAAAGAGAAAAGAAAGAAAAATGAAATTTAGCTAAACATTTCTTTAGGCAGCTTTTGAAAATAACATGGACCATGAAAAGGTTTTCTAGAAAGTGAGGAATAAAATATAGATCTAATTCATTTAATAGGTGAAGACCATTAACCCAAGTATGGATTCGATTAAAAAGTCCCACTAGTTGCCTACAGCAAACATGATCAGGTCCTTTAAAGGAATAAATATCCCCTATACAAAAAATCTCTCCAAAAATAAATAAATACAGCGATCAATATTATTTATTTAACAGTTTATTAATCTTTCATACAGAATGTCTGACATGCAGAAAAAATTGTAGAACATTGGACAAAGCAGAAATCTGACCCATAACCGAGAGAAAAACATCCAAAGAATCACACTCAAAAACACCACCACCAGAAAATAGGCCCTCCCAAACTAGAGTTGGATGCATAGGAACATTTTTCTTCAGCAATGAGAGTTATGTAAAAACTCTTCCAGACAGACGGAAGCTGGTAAACATGTTGCCAATCGACCTGTCCTATAAAACATGTTAAAGAAAGCTTACGCAAGCTGAAGGAAAATTATCCCAGATGAAAGACCGAGTACTCAGGAGGAAATAAAAAACAGGAAAAAGAATAACTATGTTAAGCTGATATGAAAAATGCTGTTAAAATTTATTTAAAAGATGATGGCAGATTTAAAGTAAAACAACGATGACGATGTACTGAACTTTAAGCATTAAAACGTAAGACAACAACACAGAGAGGGCCAGCTCCATGGCTCAGTGGTTAAGTTCTGGGCATAGAAGGCTGGATCCCACGTGGCTGACCAGAGTGGGAATCCTACCTCAGTGGCTGGAAAAACATGCCAGCATCAGGCGCATGTGCATGCATGCCCCAAATCCTGACAGGACAAAGAAATGGAGGAAAAGTGTTATAGTGAGACCGAGCCCCGATTGGGGAGTGCTTGCTCCTGCGCTCTCTCTCTCTCTCTCTCTGTCTCTGTCTCTCACACACAGGCCCTCTGGCAATAAAAAATAATTTTAAGAAGCACAAAGGATAGGAGGCGAGACACACGATACTGTTCTGTACATGGTTCTTACGTTATTAATGAAGTGGGAGCATAAGAATCATGACTTGTACTTACTTATAATTATAGCCTTATTTAGAATTTGTTTTATTCATTAAGTGATACTGGTATCTTTCATCATTTCGGGAAAGGTATCGGTCATAACATCTTCAAACATTTCCTCTTCTTTGTTCTCTGTCTCTTCTCATAATGAAACTTCAAAAAGCTGCTAGAGAAATAGAGTAAAAGTGTAAGTTTATTTTGGTGCAAAAAAAAATTTTAATCCATGCATAGTTTGTTTATAATATGCATTTGTCGTAAACGTTTGAAGCCCCGCATGTGTGTGTGTGTGTGTGTGTGTGTGTATATGTGTGTGTGTGTGTGTGTGTATGTGTGACTTATACCCTCCATTTTGACATATTTTGCTATTTTCTACCTCTCTGTCTCTCTGGACTGCTTTTTATAGATATTCTCTTTAGGTTTGGTTTGGGCTTTGTTTCTTTTTTTTTTTTTTTATAATTTGCTAGATAATATGTACATTCCCCGGAGGTAAACAGAGAGACAGAGACAGAGGAGGGGAAGAAAGCACCCCCTATGGAGTGTGGTCACACCACAATCACTTCTCCTCCGTTTCTCTAGTCTATCAGATTTGGGGCACTAGCACACACATACCCAGTGTGTTTGTCAAGCCTCTGGGGCTAGGACTCCAACCACAGTTGACCACGTGGCATCCTGTTCCTCTAACCACTAGGCTATGGGACTGGCCTCCAAAATGTGAAGTCTGAGACTATTTCTGTTTCCTTTCTCACATAGGATAATTTAGTTCCCCATGTTTAGTGATATTTTAATAATGAACTGCTCCTAAGCATTGACGCTTTATCTATAGAAATGAGTGAATGCCTGGTCTGAAATAGGTTATTGTAGAAATAATGTCTTTGTTCCACTCAAGCATCTAGGGGCACTTTAGATTTTTGGTCATCCAGAGAGCCCAAATCTGGGTCAAAAACTGAACACCATTTCTTTCTTTCTTTTTTATTTTTTCATAGAAAGGTTTTTGCTATAGGGCACGTGCGCTCACCAGAGAGACAGAGACAGAGAGACAGAAAGCAAGAAATCATCCCCCGGGGGGATGGCCATGCCGCAATCCCTTCTCCAGTCTTCTCTTGGGATTTTAGGCACGCACACACACGGGCTCAGTGTGAATTTTTTAAGCCGCCAGGTCTGGGACTAGAACCATTGTCGACTACATGGGAGTCCAGTGACATAGCCATTATGCCATCTGTTGATCCCATTTTCTTATCACATTATCTGTTTACATAAACCCTATGCCCTTAAAATCCAAGCTACAACTACCTTTTGTTCACCTTGGCCAAGGTCCTGCATTCCTGGGCTTGCTTTCTCGCATGGGTCAACTGCTAGCAGCGAGGATAGTGTCCACCCCTCTCTGGGTATAATCACTCGCTGCTCTCCATTGTCCTTTCCCTCTCCCAATGCAGGCTGGGAGCTCCTTGAGGGTAGGAATCACGTGTCTAGTCAGCCAGCCTAGTGCCTTGAACATACTGTGAGAGGTCTGCAAGTTCCTGGAGATGTATATTATGTACAATATATATTTCAAAATATTTTTGAACAAAACAAACTTGTACTTTAATTCTGTTTTCCACAAGCTTTTACAAGTGCCCTCATATATGCTCAATGTCAATCTTTGACTCAAGAACTGTCTCCCTACTGGTGTTCTCCATAACTCCCTCTACTGGATGACATCATGCTGACATTGATCCTAAACCCTACGCCTGGGGCCCTATTTCAGGCACTAACTCTATGGGTCTGTTAGACTCTGTTACTTACCCTCCCCGGAAACTTCCTCCCCACCCTTACTGCGGGCAGCTCTCCTACAGGACACTATCTCACCAGCAACCTATGTGAGCTGCACTTCAGAGCTGTCCTGCGTCTCCAATGAACTTTCTCCTGGCTCCTTTGCTGGTCCTCCTTTCTGCTTTATTCCTCAGGGTTTTTGTTGCTGCCATTGTGGCTGTCTCTCATGCCACCTCACCCCTGCTTTTTTTTTCTTCCCTAGTTATGCAGTTTGTGAAATTTGATGATGAAAAGAGCTTGCTTGAAACTACTTAGCTGACCGGAATTCATCCATCTTTACATGATTCCAGTTTTATCCTTAAAAGAGACCAACCCCATCTGGACACTGGCCATTCAGGGGACTTCATGCAGGGACAGTTCCTTAGCTTGGTGGAAACGCCTGGTGACTCTGTTCAGTTGGAATGCCTCCCACGAAGGGACAAACTGGACTGATTTCTGTTTGTCATTCTAAATGAGCGTGCATACTAGGGTTTTTTTTCTTCTTCTTTTGAAGGTTGTTTATTGAAAAGAAAAACAGGTTTGGTGTTTAAGGATCAAATCCATTTGATCTTAATTTATTTTCTTTCCACACAGAACAGAGATATTTTGAAAACGTTTTACTCTAATGGTGTTTGTTTGTTTGTTTGTTTTTTAAATCTAGCCTAATCCCTTGTAGGAGTGCAGAGTGCCTTCATGCTAAAACAAATGTGCATTTGAATGCACAATTGATTGACCAATTTTCAAATAATTAACTTTTTAGATTTTGCATGTGCATTTGTTGCTCATTTGACCATATAATAATTAATTAGTCTTAATTATAATGGATTGCACCTTCAAATCCTGCATGTGTATTCTAATAAAATGACAGCATCTCACATCGCTTTTTATATTGTAGTCAAGTAGACAAACACAAGCAAAGGAAGCAAATTCTTAAGGTGGGGGACATTCCACATCCCTTGAAGTCGACATTTTGATTAATGAAGTGTTACAGTTGTTTTTAATGTATTTATTTGGTGGTGCATTCAGCAAAATTAATCCTGATAGATGAAATGTGTTTAAAGCACTTCTAACAAAATGAATGGTGTCTCCAAGTTAATAGAGTTATAAATGAACAGAAGACAAAAAAATGGAGAAGTCTTTAAGAATGAGTCAAGTGAAAATAAATGCCAGATTAAAAAACAATTTACTGGGTGTGTTTACAGAGCCAAAGGGAACCCAAATGCAAAGAATTTGACTCACAAAGTGAGCAGTTAAAATATCTGCATTC